TGATCTTTCAGGACAATCGAAATTGTTATCTTTTAAAGTACCTACCTTGTGTATACCTTATTTTTTAATCCTGCGCAAACTGATGATTTACTAGTCACTCTGTAAGAAGTAACGTTGGCTACATAGAGTGGAGGATCTAAGATTTCCTATACTCCGGCATGTAGCAAATATAAGCCTTATAATAATAATGCATAATATTCTACAGAAAGAAAATCCATTTACAGAATAGAATATGTTATTTATTGTTACCGCGTATAAATTACACTGTAATACTGATTATAAATTATACATTTTACAAAATAACAACAGAATAAAATAATTAATTAGATATGGCAGGCCTTGGTGGCCTCCCCAAATTGTTTGTGCCCTGTCTGGTGCCCATCTAGCGTATAAACAGTTTATTTATTTAAGTACTTCAGATAAGTATTTTATCTTCCTTTTCAATTATTCAAGTAGTAAAAAAATTGATAGATGCAGAAATACGCATCTGTCACTAGCGATTCATTAAAGTCTAAAATTATACACCCTTGACGTCGCCCACGTGATTATGTTTTAGATCTAAACCTAGAGGCTCTGAAAATCACAAAATCCCGATTGTTGAATACCGTGAGACGATTCTGATCGGGAAAAGATTAGAAGACGACTGTAGATTTATAAAAAGTATATTATGAAGATCTTTAAGGATTCTAATAGAACTGTTTACTGTTTTTACATTTCAACATTTCTGTTATTAGTAGCAATAGCCATGACTTTTGTTGTTTTAAGAATAGCTACTAATAACAGAAATGTTGAAATTTATTTTTAAATTTGCGGGTATACTCAAAGCTTAATAAAATGTAAAAACAGTTTTGTATGCACCTTTTAATTCTGAACAACTTTAAACTCTACAGTTTTTTCTGTAAAATGTACCTACAGGAGGGCAGGGTATTGCATAAAACTAATCTCCCATGTTAAATCCCTATGTTCGTACTTACCGTGCACCACCTGGTATACACGGTGTCCATTTTTCGAGTGCCACTATGGGGATCTCACTTATCTTAAGAGATAGAAAGTTGGTTAAATGGGGACAAAGTTGCAAATTTCCGTGCTGAATAAGAATCTGAAAAGAAATTTGGAATATCTTCAATACTTTTGAAGATATGACAAAAAAACGAAAATTTCTGATTTTCGTTTTTAATTTTTTTATGATAAACTAGTCGTAGTAGACATTTCTAATTAGCACATTATTCGGACACTTTTTAATGGAGATTTCAAATATGGCATCCTGTTTTTAATTACGTTCAAGATGACGGAGAAACACGTGGCAACTTAGTTTTTCTTATGGGCGCCATATTGAATTTTGACATTTTGGGATTACGTCTTTTTTTCTCTTTACAACGATATATCACACATACTGGTTCAGTATCACATTTTTCCTAAAAATACAATTTTTCATTTTTTGAGAAGAGTGCTTTGGAAAAACAAAACGTTCTTTTGTTGTCAACAAAAGTTTGACAGTTTAATCCATCTGTCTGGTTGCAGCGTTGTCAGAGAAGTAGAAATTCGATTTTCATCTCAACCGCTTGCAAAATTGCCTGCTTATATTCATTGGGTCTATCACCATATTGCTGTCTACATCTTTTAAAAGAACCATATTCGCCCAAGTTTTTATGCAGCAAAGAAAAATACCTCAAACTAGGTTGTTGCCCCTCTGGATAACGCTGCAAATATGTTGCAGCAGTCATGTGAGCATTTCGATGAGAAGTGTAGTAAATTTGGATCATATCTCTTTGATCTGCATTTGAAAAAGGCATTTTCGCAATACAACTAGCATATAAACCTAAATGACACTACATGAAATAAGTCAACCTTTTGTTCACAACAAAAGAACGTTTTCTTTTTCCAAAGCACTCTTCTCAAATAATTAAAAATTGTATTTTTAGGAAAAATGTGATACTGAACCACCATGTGTGATATATCGTTGTAAAGAGAAAAAAAGACGTAATCTCAAAATGTGAAAAATCAAAATGGCGCCCATAAGAACAACTAAAGTTGCCACGTGTTTCTCCGTCATCTGGAGAGTTATTAAAAACAGGATGTCATATTTGAAATCTCCATTAAAAAGTGTCGGAATAATGTGTTAATTAGAAATGTCTACTACGATTAGTTTATCATAAAAAAAATAAAAACGAAAATCAGAAATGTTTGTTTTTTTGAGGTATCTTCAAAACTATTGAAGATATTTGAAATGTCTTTTCATATTCTTATTCAGCACGAAAATTGGCAACTTTGCCCCCATTTAACCAACTTTCTATCTCTTAAGATAAGTGAGATCCCCATAGTGGCACTCGAAAAATGAACACCGTGTATAAAAATTCAAAAGAGTCGCATTTATTTACAATAAGGAAAGGCACATCGAAAAAGCGACAGGTTAAACCTTTTAGATTTTCATTAATTTGCGTGGGTAAATTGCAACAATGTAGTTTTAATATAGTGAGCTAGCCTCGGAGCTAGCTGTGGATACAGTGGGCAGAAAAATTTAACTTTTTATTATTATTAAGAAACGGAAGAATCTGAAAATTCTAAAAATCTTATAAGAATCAGCAAATATGGTATAAAATGAAAAATTTTAGAAATCTGAACGGACAAAAATTGAAAGAATCCTAATTTTTGAAGAATATGTAAAATTTGAATACGAAAAATGTGAGGAATTTGAACATTCTAAAGAATCCGAAGAGAGAACAACTGAAAAAAGAGTCCATTTCTTCTTAAGATTTTGAGGAATGTCGAGAATTTCAAGATTTTATGAATAGTTCAGAGTATGAAGGATTGACGGATTTAAAAGGTCGAAGAATATGCAGAAATTACAGAACGGAAGAAGCTTGGCAAGGAATCTAAACGATCTGATGAATTTGCGGAGTCGAAAAATTAAAAAAAAAGAAAAAAATTGGAAAACAGTGAGGAAGAATCTGAAAGGTCTGAAATAGCGATAGAATGCGAAGAATCTGTAGAATGTAAATATAGGTAAAACTCAAACAATTGGTAACCAAAGAATGGGAAGAAATTTGAAAAACCGATAGACTACAAATCAAATGAAATAGAGGAATCAGTATATCTAAACGTAAATGAACCAAACGAGAGGATTCGAAAAATTCCTAACAGAATCTAAAAGATCAGATGAATCAATTCGAAGAATCTGATTAATGAACTGAAAACTGCCAAGATCCGTAGAAATGAAATATTTTGAAGAATCTGAAAGACCCAAAGCAGTTCATTTTACAACAAATAGGTAATCCATTTTTCTGACTTGCGTCATGGCCAGATCTCGGTTGAATTTACCAATCCGTTAGTGCTGAAGACCATAATTGTTCTTCAACTTTGGGATCTTGGCGTTCCTAATGTCTTTACAAAGTTTCACTCTTGTAGATATAAGACATTTACGTATTATTTATTTGCATATTTTACATTATTATTATTATTATTCATTTGCAATCTCCGTAATATAAACATTAATTAAAACGGTTATTACTTTTGTAAAAAAGGGACATAATTTCCGATTCTTTTTGAGACACAAACCATAAAAATCAGAGTAATTTATTGCGGGTCTAGGACACTTTGCCGAATGCCCACAACGCCGACAAATGTGCAAGGGACACAACGCCGACTAAGGACACTTCGCCGATGCACACTACGCCGACCGTGCCCAGTGCCCACTTCGCCGACTATTTTTGTGTGAGTTGGCAGTTAAAAAAATTTCCTAAACCTACAAATAACCTAATATCCAAAGCTGCCTGGTGTCACTCCGTCCAGTTTCATTAATAATTTTTTTCTACAATCGATATCCAAAGTAGGCATTTGCGCTCGTATTTGACAATGCAAACGTCATCTTTTTCGAGGAATGTCACTTTGTCGCTTATAAGCGACAAAATAGCAAAAACGCTCGCTCTCCCAATTATTAACTATAAATCAAATATGCATTGCTCAGAGTATCCAATGACAACGAGTAAATGACATCTTTCATTTGGACATAAGATTAAAATGATTTGAGTGAAAAATTTAAATTTCTGGAAATATGTGAACTGCTCGATTGTAGAAAAAATCTTGTGTGTAATTCGAGCGCAAATTGATTGTCGATTTCAAGAGATTGCCGCGCTCCTTCGTCGCGCGTCAACTGTCTCTTTCAATCGACAATATATCATTTTGCGCTCTTAATACACAAATAGCTATTGTATGAGTTTGTAGTTCAAAAAAAGTTAAAAAAAAATATTCTAAACCTACAATAACCTAGCGTCCAAAGCTGATTGCGTACCTCCGCTGTATGAGCCGACGTTGTGGTCACGGTCGGCTTAGTGTTCCTTGTACACTTGTCGCCAAAGTGGGCACGGTCGGCGTAGTGTCCGTCGGCGTTGTGTCCCTAGTCGGCGATATGGACCATCCAAAAATCGTGTCGGCGTTGTGGGCATTCGGCGGAGTGTCCCGGTCCCTTATTTCTCTAGAGAAAGATTAGCACGGGTTTCACCTTATCAGGTATAATGCATTCTAACATTCATTCACATTTTTTTTTAGCAAGGTCAATCGTAATCGTACGAAGGCGTAGAAGGGCCACATGTAGTAATTTTTTTTCATTTCCGACTTTAAACGCGGAATTTAACTAAATATTCGGCGGCTGGTGGTTGGACGTGGCTGCCTGCGCCGTGTTAGCTTCCTGTGCTGGCCGGATTCGTTGCGGAATGTTGTAGTGGCGAGATGTTCTTTTGTGGCGTGGTGGTGTGGGCGAGATGGCGATTCTTGGTCGTGGGTCAGGTGTTCCTCAATCTGGGCGGTGGCGGTTCCCGTGCGGCCTCTCTACGATTGGGTGCTGGTCGTAGGTCATGGATATGAACCTTCACCTGTTCTCTGTCTCGCTGGATGAAATATGAGTTTGTGCCTGCGTTGGCGATTACTCTATATGGCCCCTTCCATTTTTGCTGAAATTCTCCCGTTGCGAGGTCTCGGGATCTCTCCATTACTTCGTCCCCTGCTTAGAACTGCGCCCTGGTTGGTCCGACATTCGCGTACCTGGATCGGTAGCGGTGCTGGTTGCGATGGACTGTCCGGATCCGTTCCTCGTGTTCTTCACCTTGGCCGATGGGAGTTGCCGGGGCTTGAGTCGCATGCCATTCTCCTGGCCTGGGGAGTTCATATCCAAGCAGGGCATTGCTGGGCGTCGTTCCCGTGGCGGCATTTTTTCTCGTCCGGAGGGTGAAGAGGATGATGGGGAGTTTCCTGTCCCACATCTGTGGAGTCTCCCCGTCGAGGTGTATGCGTAATCCTTTCTTTATTTCCTGGTTCCGCCTCTCCACGGGGTTGGCTTGGGGGTGGAAGATAGGTGTCGTCCAATGGTAGCACCCCCAGTGTTGTAGTGCGGCATCCCAGGTGACGGAGATCAATTGTGGGCCATTGTCGGAAACTATCGCCCTTGGGAACCCGTATCGCCCGAATACTTCATTCTCCAGCCGATTGACTACAGCGTCGGTGGTGGTTAGCCGGAGAGGGAAAGCTTCTACCCACATGCTGTATAGGTCTGTTACTACCAGTATGAACCGATTTCCCAGATGTGAAGTGGTGTATGGTCCTATTAGGTCGACGGAAATCACCTCGCACGGACGACTGGGTTGGCGTGGTCGGACAGTGGCTTCCTGAATGGGTCCTCGCTTTGCCACGGTGCATACCCAACAGTTCCGCACGTAGTTCCTAACGTCTTCTTCCATTGTCGGCCAGTGGTAGTATAGTATATGGCACGTTCTGTTTCTTCCGCTCCTGGGTGGCCTGCTGTTGGTGAATCGCGGTACGCGTGCAGGACTGCTTCTTTCTTGTCGACGGGTACTACTAGAAGATCTCCGTGGTTGGATTTGCGGTAGAGATATCCGTGTAGTTCTGAAAGAAACGGTTTTGGGCTGGGTCCGTGGGCCCGTTGTCTTGGATTAGGTTCCACGTACTTATCAAATTGTCGGCGTGTGGATTGTTTCTCTGGCTTTGCTTCACGCGGTCGGCAAGTTCTGCCATCTCGATGTTGGCGAGGAATGGTGGTCCTGTGTTGTCCCTGTCTGCTGGTGCGGTAGACGGGGGCAGGATGCGACTGATGTCTTCTTCTGTATTTTCTTCCACGACTCGGTCTGTGGGGTTCCTCGACAGGTAGTTCGTTTTCCTTGCCGGGACAATGTATCACGTCGAAGGAGAATTCTTGAAGTCTCAGGGCCCATCTGGTAAGTTTACTATTGTCGTCCTTCGTTCGGTCTAACCAAAGGAGTGCTCAACTGTCCGTTTTGAGTGTGAACTTTCTGTCCTCCAGGTATGGTTGGTATCGCTTGACCGCCCAGACGACCGCCAGACACTCTTGTTCATTTGCATGAACTTTGCTTTGTGCTCCGTTTAATTTTGCGCTCGCGTAACTTATGATGTTGCTCTGGTTGGGGCGGGGCTCCTGGTAGAGTACGGCTGCGATTATGCCTTTGCTACTGCCGTCAGTTTGTAGGATGAACTGCAGCTTGAAATCCGGAGGGCACAGCTTAAGGGGTTGGCTGATGGCGTCTTTCAGTTGAGCGAATGCTTGGGCGGCTGCTTCGGTCCACCGGTACGGCGCGTTCTTCCGCAGTAGGTCGTCGAGGGGCCCTTGAATTTCTGGGCATCGCGAGATGTAGTCTCGGATCCAATTAATCAGTCCCAGGAAACTACGCAGCTGCTTCCTTGTTTTAGGCGCTTCGGCGGTGCGGATGGCCTCGACTTGTAGTACTAGCGGTATAACGGAAATTCTTGAAAGATACTGCATTTTTTTATACCAAGGTGCCACTTGGTACAATTGTTCCTTAGAGCTGCGATTTTACCCGAAGAACACTTGACATTTTCCGTGTGGGTAGATTTTAGAGGGGTTGAGGGTGATTTATTGTAACATTTTTTAAAAAACTAAATATGGCCTAGAGACGAGATCTGGGTGTCGATTTCGTATGATTTTAACCCGAAGAATCCAATGGTAGCGCCAGAAATGTAATCCGTGAGTCCGTGAAAAGCCGCCATTTTTAGAAAATGACAGACTTTTAATATTAATAATTTTATAATATTTTTAAGGCACACCGGGTCGTGTAAGGTGTCTAGACTTTGGGGTCAGGGAATTCATTTATGATAACAAATATAACCTACTGGCATCGGAACTGCATGAGAGGCTTCCTTACTGCACTTTTTGAAGACGTCGTACGCGGTGAAACCCAAGATATTCCAAAGTTTTAATACCTACATAAATTTGTAATATTTTATTTAATAAAAATGCACATTAATAAAACATAAGATATATTAAAATACCTATGGGGTAAAAAATGTATAAGCCTATGAAGAATCACCAAGTACATCGCTGACCTCCTCTGAGATTGCGTATCACCACTGAAAAGGAATTCTACATATAAATATTAAAGGTTCGGTAGTAAATTATATCGAAAGTATACAATATTCTTACCCTTTGTTTGAGCAATCTCCCATACATTTTTGTCATGCAGGGGAACAATGGTAATCCGTGTCGCCGCAGCAAGAGGTGGAGGAGCACATAAGGAGGGCGGCGTATGTCGCTGGCCATATCTGGGGATGTGCAAACCAGGTGATGAGAAGCTCTACAAGTCCAGAAGGATGGGAATGGACTCTTGAAGCCAAAGGCTTGAAGGTTCTGTAGTCCAAGCTGCCACAAGTATGGAAGGCAGTCCGTGCTCTGGACAGGTGTGGCTGCGCGACAGGCTGCGAGACCCTTCGGTGCAGCTGCCGGCGACACGGATTGCCATGTTCCCCTGCATGCCAAAAATGTATGGGAGATTGCTCAAACCAAGGGTAAGAATATTGTATACTTTCGGATATACCTAATTTACTACCGAACCTTTAATATTTATACCGGGTGAATATTCCCAAAACGAACATAGGGAATTAACATGGGAAAAGGGGTTTTTGTAGATAATTGCTCCCCATGTTAACTTAGAGGGTTGATCATGACACCAATCGAAAGAAGATTTTTTTCCTCGTCTAATGATATACGAATTAGTTCATTTTCAGGTGTATTTCTCACTGTATTATCAAAAACTCGAGAAATACACTTACCAAAATCATGTTTAGCCATGACTAAGACAAAAAGCAGATTCAAACGTCGAAATCAATATCAGTTTATGACACCTGGCATTATTTTATTATTTTATTAAATGCGGTTCACTGGGGAAAAAGTATTTATAATAAACAACGTTTTTGCGCGATCGGTCATTTCTGACTATTTACCATGGGTGTTTCCATGACAGTAAGTAGAATTTACCAGTTGCTATGATTACGACGACGCCAAAATTACTTACCGATCTAAAAACAGAACAGCAAAAATACTTACCGACGCCTTTTTAAAAATCAACAGTCTTACATTTAATCTTTAATTATTGTTAGGTACATTAATCGTACAATTTGTGCTGTTGTTTCCTATAGCAAGACGCTCATAAAGTCATAAAGGAAGTGCAAAACTAGTAAACTACATCAGACACATGCACATTTTTATGAAATTGTTAATTTCAATTTTGACATTTAAACTGGTTGCCTAGTGATGTACACCATACCACTTCAATCATTTCGATTTATTCTGCTCGTTAATTTCTTAGTGCATAGTTATATTGGTTGGATAATTTTAATTTCGATCGCGCAAAAAATGTTATAAGCACGTCGAACGTTAAGGGTTACCGTTCTCAGACAATAATTTGAGTCGTCGCTTCGCTCCTCCTCCAAACAATTGTCTTCGAACGGTAAAAATCCCTTACCGTTCTCCATACTTAATATACTATTACAGCGGAAATATTTACTCTAGTACGCGATATTTGTTTTCCGTGCATGTGAAAACCTATTTCAATTCGTTAGGAAATTTCCATGGCTTAACATGATTCTGCTAATTGGATTTATTGCCGAATTTTTGATAAAATAATGAGAAATACACCTGAAAATAAGCTAATTCGTATATCATTAGATGAGAAAAAAATCTTCTTTTGATTGGTGTCATTAGGTACAAACCCTCTAAGTTAACATGGGGAGTAACGATCGGCAAAAAACGTTTTTCGCATGTTAATTTCCTACGATCGGTTTTAAAATATTCACCCGGTATGTGAAATTCCTTTTCAGTGGTGATAACGCAATCTCAGAGGAGGTCAGCGACGTACTTGGTGATCCTTCATAGGCTTATAAATTTTTTACCCCATGTTTTAATATATTTTATGTTTTGTTAATGTGTATTTTTATTAAATAAAATATTACAAATTTATGTAGGTATTAAAACTTTGGAATATCTTGGGTTTCACCGCGTGCGACGTCTTCAAAAAGTGCAGTAGGGAAGCCTCTCATGCAGTTCCGATGCCAGTAGGTCATTTTTGTTATCATAAATGAATTCCCTGACCCCAAAAACATAACTCTAGACACCTTACACGACCCGGTGTGCCTTAGAAATAAAATTCGATCAAAAGTCTGTCATTTTCTAAAAATCGCGACTTTTCACGGACTTCCTGTATCCGGATTACATTTCTGGCGCTACCATTGGATTCCTCGGGTTAAAATCATACGAAATCGACACCCAGATCTCGTCTCTAGGCCATATTTAGTTCTTAAAAAAATATTACAATAAATCACCCCCACTCCCTCTAAAATCTACCCACACGGAAAATGTCAAGTGTTCTTCGGGCCAAATCGCCTAAATGGCTCTAAGGAACAACTGTACCAAGTGGTACCTTGGTATAAGAAAATGCAGTATCTTTTGGTATACCGCTAGTACTATTGCTCCCGTAGCGATTTGTTGCCGTCTGCTTCAATGGTGTGACCAAGGTACTGAATGGATTGTACCCCAGAGCGGCATTTCTCTACCGATAGTCGTAGCCTGTGGTGCCCCAATCGCTCTAGCACTAGATGGAGGTGGTGGAGATGTTCTTCCCAGGTCTGCGAGTACTCGGCGAGTACACAATGATGTCGTTTAGGTAGACCATTGCGAATTTGTGTTGATATCCTGGGAGGACTTCTTGTGTCATCAGCTTTTGAAATGTTGCTGGCGCATTCTTCAGACCGAAGGGCATCACTCTGAATTGATAGGCGGCTCGGTCAGGTGTCGTGAAGGCGGTTAAAGGTTTGGACGCATCATCCAGTGGTACTTGCCAGTATCACGAGTTTAAAGTCGGAATTTAGTTAATTTCTGAGTTTAAAATCGGAAATGAAAAAAAATTATTACATGTGGCCCTTCTACGTCTTCGTATAATCGTGTTTAAAAATAATATAAAAAGTTTTGTAGCATTCGAAGTTTACATTCGCAAATTATGAGGGCCATGTTTCCCACCTATAAATTTTGCCATTTCAAAATTGCTTCCAAAATTGCCCAATTTTTCACCGTTCTGACTTCTGCCCTTTATCTTGAATTTGAACCGCGTCCTCCACATTTCTAGTAAAATTATCGTTCGATTTGTCATCGGCGGCGCTTGGGGGTTATCTTTTTTACTCACAATCGAATTGGTCTTATCATTTTATGTCAAGGCAATGCACTGGACTACACACTAAACGATTCCGTACGTGAATTAGCAAATGACAACATTGATTAAACCTGCACTGCACCGCAATTTACTTGCGGTGCCAAGCAATAATTGCACGTTGTACAAAAGCAATCTAGTTTACAACAAAAACCACTTAAAAGCTGGCATTTTTTTAAAAAACGCATTAAAATTGCGGAACTTTTTTTTAATTTGGTTGGTTTTACATACTTATCGTTAGGATTAGAAACGCGTTCGAAATTTGTAGAGGAAACCTAATATAACACAACCCTCAGTGCTATAATTAACGAAAGCAAATATGCAAAACGTAATAATTAAAAAAGCTGCTGACCCATTTTCCTTTTTTCATGAACTGGAAACGCGCTTTGGGTAGATAAAGCGAAGTATTTGTTAACTTGCGATTAATTATTTATTCATACACGTGTCCTTTGTGTTTACAAACAGTGGATTTTTGGCCAATATATAAATGGGCGTTGATTGCAAGAGTGAAGAGGAGGGGGCAGATTAATTGTTCACGCATATATATTTGTAAAAGACGGGTTCCGTACGAGTACAATTGGAGCAGAGCGTCAATAGTTACATAGCAGGAATATATAACAGCGGCTGTGAATGACGTATTCGCAGCACAGACGTACTCGCAGACAGTCGAAATGTTGGGAACATCGATTTCCTTCCCCCACTGTTCGGAAGAATTGCCGGCGCACTACATGCAAGTTCAGAAGCGCCAGTCGAGTGCCGAACTTCGTTCGGTTAATACAGCCATGGCAACGTGTTATCCTTCATACGAGTTATCAACTCCAACTTCCAGAACTGTGCAAGTGCCTGTTCAAAAGGATTATTCGCGACCGCTTCACGTCGATTGCAGTGTCGAGTACGAACTACCGAATCAGGCGAAGCCTCCGCAAGGCGTCAGAAACGAACCCTTACTAATGATCCACCCGTGTTACTTCCGGAAAATCGAAAGTCAGCGTAGAAGTCCTTTTGTGAATAATTTACCACAAGCGACGCGACAACCGTCGGCCACCAAAAGGAGAGCCGTGCGGACGCAACAGCAACAAATTCCTCAGCAGGCAGCGCAATACCCGATACAGTACGCTACGGCCGTCACCGCGGCCACCGAAAGACACCACCAGCAGCAACAGCAACAACAGCCACCCCAACAGCAGCAGCAACAACACATACTGCATCACCACCACCATCAGCAGCAGCTCTGGGAACCGATGCCTCCGTTAGTGCCAATATCGGCGGCCGCAGCTGTGCAACAAAGTTACTGTAAAAGAGAGGCCGCGGCGGCCGCGATGGTTTCGGGTTGTGCGACCTACAGTTCTGGATCTGGAGATTCCGGACATTGGACAGATCCCGACAGGTCACCCGACAGACCTGAGGATAAACATATACTTTCGGGTAAATATCGACAGTACCTTCGAGCTCATAGACTTCATCCTTACGTTAGCTCGGCCATTCCGATAGCCTCCACGTTCCCACAGATTCAGCAAGTTTGTTATAATGTGTGATCGCTGTGATGTGATACGGAACTCTTGTGATAATAGTCTATAATGTAACGGAAGTGCGCAGGCGTCCGGCTCCGGGCGTGGTAGTGATCCAACAGCTGTGCAGCCAGCGACCTATGTTTTTTTTTTCCTATTTAATTCCTCTGACCTTTGGTTTTTTTACGATTCATTACGCGATATGAGAAAAAGACGACTTTAACTGTAACACGTAATTCATTCAACTGTCTGTCTGTAGTGCGACAACGCTTATATTTATATAGGCCAAATTTCGTATATAGATATTAAATCGGGACGAATGTGAATTCTGTGCGGGTGCGAAACCGCCGTTAGTCTTTCCGACGGGAAAACGTAGTGCATGCGAGTCTTTCTACTACGATCGGGCACAGATTCGTATTCGTCGCAAATTTCCTATTTTGTATCGTGTAATTCCCAAAAGTGTCTGTGCGCAGTGCGACAAAACATATATTGGTCAGACTGCAAATAATCATGCTATCAAAATTGAAAGGTCCCAGATTTCTTGCTGTAAGCGTGTACTCTTCGATGAAAAATTTTTAAAGTTCTTAGAAGTCTGTCCCAACGTCTTTCACTAGTTTTAGGTAGGATTTCAAATTGAGAAAGAAGGTATTTCTTAAAGTATTATTTATTGAACTGACGGGATTTAATTCGCTCTTCATCATAATTCCATTGTGTTTGACATTTTTAAGTGGGTGTTTCTCTGTTTAATTCAGCAATTCAAACAATAGGTTTTTGAAAAGAAAAAAGTTACCGGTTTTAGAACAATGCACAATGCTCTTTGTTACGTATACTACGCGAAACGTTCTGCATGTTTCCGGAAAAAAGACGCTTATATTAAGAACTCATTACGGGCCGATTTAGATATAATTGAAAATGCTGACTGTAAAATGTATGTTATCAACGGCTTGCCGTCGGACGCGTCGGTATCCACCAAGTTTATTTATAAAAGTTGTCAATGTCCACTTAGGCTTGTTAATGTTAAATGTTACGCCACTATCGGCATCCATAACTTTTCCCACAAATAATCCAAAAATTACAAAAAAAATCAGTCGTAGATTGCAGGCGTTTTTCAATTGTATAAAGCAGACTGCTAGATCGCATCTTAGTTTATAAAATTAGTTTTGAATTGTATTTAAAAGTCCACCTTCCTTTCTGTTTTATGTTACTGTTGCCATAATACGTGTTTGGGAAATGTTACTTCCACTAGCAAACGCGTTTCTGTACTTTACGTTTTAGAGGAAAAATGTGTCAAATTTATAGCTTAGTGAACAGTCCTAGTGATAGTAATATTTCTTTCGATAGCACAGTATACCAAATAAGTATGTACAAAGTAAAACAAAAACGGTAAAAAATTTGAGGGCCACAAAGCGTAGTCAAATCCCGAAAAGGAACTGACATGAACATTTTTAATCAACTTTTGAGACTTTATTTTTTTAGACTGGAATCTTATCAAATTGCCCTTCGTCTAGAGTAGTTTCGGGAAGCTTTTGGCTCGCAAGTTTTGTTTTCTATGAAATATTTAAACGGCACCGATAGCATGAGATCTGACTTATAACTTATACATTCTCTATGGCTAAATAGCTAGACCAAAGAATATCTATCAAGTGTATATATTTAACAAAAAACTGAAAAAACCAATCGGACTCGTCCGATTCGAAAAAAATTGTGAATATGTATAAAGTATTGCTATATATAATGTACAGCTAGTCATAGGCAAAATACGCTTATAAAATATGAATAAAACGTGTTAATGTTTTTATAGAATCATCAGCAGTTTCTTTTCTGCATTCCCAATCAATAAAATTGGAATTCGAATTGTGTGTTTGTTCATTAGTGCCCCGATTACCTCGCTCATGCAAGGAAAAAGTGAAACCTGCTTTAATTGGATTATGTGATTTAAAGTGCAGTGATCTTAGTGCCTTTTTTGGATTAATTTTCAGGTCTAAATAAGAGCGTAAATTATCGGGTAAGTTAATAATAAATAAAACAGCTGATCCGTATTAGGAGAGCATGAAAACGTGGGATGTTTAGCGGCACCAGCTTAATCGAATTATTTCATACCACAGTCCACAATTAATGACATGCCGTCACAGAAATTTCGGCTTTAGTTTCAATTGGCAATTAATTAGGAATATTAATCACGGCTTGCAATCGCAATGTATGGAATTTAAATTTAAAATTCATTTCCTTCAACAGTCTAAATTAAATTATTTATTCAGGTTTCGAACTGAAAGTATTCAATTTCTTTTGATTAGTTCGTCAAATAGAATAATTTGTTCTGAATAAGGCCGTTGGTTTGCTAACAATGAATTTTAATTATAGTTTCTTTTTTAATTTTTCTACACCAATATTTACATTCAGATCATTATAACTTTATTATATCTCAATGATAATACATACGCTGTAAACAAAATGTTTTTAAGAGGTACTTTTGGGATAATAATTTCGAAATGTTTCATTGTACCTACTGGCAATTAAGAGTTATAATCCAAAATTACGAAATACGAAACCGCTTTCAATATAAACCCTACGTTTAGTGCAACACAACCCCGCATTACTCTAGTTTTGTTTTAAAATTGCAAATGTTACAAATTAAAACTAAATTTCCAAAACTCCCGACGTTTTTGTTCATTCATCACGCTTTTAGTTTACACTTTAGAAATATTTTTTAAGCATAATTAATGTAAACAGTAACTGTGTGTTAATTCGCCAAATAAACAAATTTTTGAAAGCGCACATTATTTCGTCAACAACCGAGCGCCTGTGGTTATTTTTCAGGTAGCAAAATTGATTATGGTAATCATCGATCAAGGCAAATCAAATAATTGGCTAAAATAGTAAACACACAGGGGAAATAAGGTTAGATTTATTATAATTAAGCAGCTAATTAAGTGTAATTGGATTCAAACAGAAATTTGCGTGCGAGTTTTTAGAAACTGAGGTACAAAAGTCACAACAGAAAATTAAATTCCTCCTTGATACGTCCGAGCAGGTTAAACTTCTATGAACCTTCTGTTCTGGGAAAACATATGTTCAACGTGCGTAATAAGAAAACGGTGTCCGGAAATCCTCACTTTACTGCGAATAGTAAATACGGAAACTTAGATTTAGCAATTTGTTAATTTATTTCAAAAGTTTGTCAATTCTGCGGACGTCGTAATGTGAAAGAAATTTTATTCGGGACTGTTTATAGTATACGATATAACAAAGAGGTTTACGTAACGTTACAAAAAGTTTTAATTACCGCAATCAACGACATTTAAATGTACACAGTTGTTGTAAATAATTAAAATTAACAAATGACAGTTGATGCGCATATGTTCACAATTTTTATAAAACACATTTACCATAAGTTTTGCATCATTCTTCACAAGATCATTAGAAAAATGGCTTCCGGTCGAACAAAAAGCTTTTTAGAATTTTGCTCAGTTTCGAATTTTAATGGAAATGACACTGAATTACTTCCGGCGCGTGAACTTCTAATGCCTTCAAAAGGTGTAGGTACGTAAACAACTTAAAAAATACATCGTCTCATACCATGCATCGGCTACAATTTGCCGTTTTTTCGCCTCTAATTAGTCATAGAAAAACAAAATTTGTGTTTTTTAAATGGCCATTTCTCAGCGGAGTTAGCGAAACATCCGCTATACCTGCCCATTCTGATTATCTCCTGCCAGAATAATTGACTGATTTAATTCGATTCGGTCAGTTAATTATGATTTGTTTACACCTTATAATTAACAACGTTATATAACGCGGAAGGGTGGGAGGGGAAAGGGTTTCTTGATACATATTTCGATTACGTGCCCGATATATTCCTCTCACTGCAACTATTAAAATTGACACACTGTATACAAGACTCGATCAAAATTTCATCTCTTTTTTCAGAGATTTGCCGTTTTTGCTCGCTTTCTCCACATTACATACCTAAATTTGCAAATTCGCTCCTTTCACTGTATTTACCCCACTAATTATATTAAGAAATCCATTTTAATTAGGCGCCGCTCGAACGCCCATTTCCGTTTTTGAGTATGGGACTTTTTCCTGCCCTTTTTTCGCAAAACCGGTTACACGTGAGCTGTTTTTATACTGATTTTAAAACATTAGGAACCCCTGATTATTTAAAAATTAGATCTTTAGCAGAACAAAGTGCCGTTTTTGAGACTACTTTTTTTGGTATAAAATGGCATGCCGCGTACTCGTACACATTTCTGGACTTAGTCAATTCATTGAATAAAAACTATGTAATCTATATCTACTCTTTTAATTTACCTAAATATATGAATTCACTTACCTCACAATTGGCATCGCCTATAAAATCACAAATGAAACATGAAAAAAGATTAATGGTAAAATAGTTAATTTAAGTGCACTTTCTATTATACCTAATTATCGAGGGGTAGGTATATTGTTAAAATCGATATAAATATACAGGATGTTCCTACCTCGGTTCCTACATATGATGTAAATACAGAAGGGTCTAATTCTTTGGCTTGATTTATGACTAAAATTTTATATAAACATTGGTCCGTAAGCCTTCGTTACCGATCTACAGAGTGTTTCAAGATTTTTTAAGTATTTTTCCTTTACCCACTACTCAATAGCTTTTGACTCGGCTTTTGAGATATTTTGTTCAGGTTTGAAGTATAAGTAGTAAGGTTATCAAGAAAAAAATAAAAATAAATTTTCGGTAGTTAGCTAAATTCGAGGCCTTATTTGGAGAATCTTCTGTTTTTAGTGACAGTTCCTCGGACAGTTCGCATATGAAATGGTCTTTTGTGCGTGGTCTGCACAACCCCTTGGAAATAATAGAACTCTTGGAATTCATGGAGTGGAGGTCATGAAATAATTGGAATTCTAAGTCATTTTACCAGCCATATAGTTCGAGTTGTGGTTTACTTATTATTGATTTTTATATAATTAACTGGAATTCATTCAACATTTTTGAAGTGAGTATTCCTTATCGCTCGGCATGATTGGATGCGAGACTGGATGTTTTGCACGGGACTAAATTCACCTCATCCGTCACAAGATTCTCCGTTGTGAGACGATTCAAGCTCGGATTCAAGTATGCACCTCATTCATCACTAGACGTTATGCGGAATGAATCGATTTGAATGGAAATATCGTATAAAAACCTTTTTAGCTCATTTTTGAAAAAAAATACGCTATTATATTCGTTATGGCTGGCTGGCGGGCTGTCCGGGTGAGATCTTAGCAACTACATAGCTAGAGACATAAAATTTTCACTAAAAGCTTTCTGCTATAGTGTAGATGTGCAGGCTCTAGTCTATTTTGAGTTAAATTACTTGTGAGATCGATAATTTAAGAAAATAATTTCGATATGGTTTTCGGAGATCCTATAATTTTACCGTTAGATAGCGCTACCAGTATAAAACTTTAAAGTCACTAAAAACTTAATTACTTATTTACTTTGTGATTTGTTTTACAAAATGAAGACGTACCCTCAAATGAAATTAAATAAAATTAATTATTTAACGCAGCCAAAATTACTCGTGAGATCGATAATTTTAAACTTCGCTAATAAAATACTGACCTGTATTACCAAAAATGCGCTTTAATCATGCATATGCTGATTTACAACTTGTTTTTTATTATTGTAAGTAATGCCAACGAAATATATAAATACTTTAAATAACTCCGTTCACTTTTTACAATTGCAAGAAAAGCCAGAGGAACCATCAACAATATGTACCCTCAGAAACTTGTAAGGTAGCGAGGTGAGGCAGCGCAGCAGTCAAAGCCGAAACTATGCTCTCGTGTTGGGTTAAATAATGACATCAACATTTAAGTACCTACCATTTTAACCAAATAAACCTTAGCGAGACGAGGCGCCGAAGTCCTCGTCTTGAATCAGATGATTGGCATCAATATCTTTGAATCCTTCACAAAAATAATTTCGTGCTCTTTTTTACCATTGTGAGCACAAGAATTAATCCCTTGATTTTTTTTATCATTGCAAAGAAACCCTACAGAATTTGTAAGGTAGCGAGCTGAGACGGCGCAGCTGACGAAGCCAAAAATGTATTCACGTTTTGAGTCAAGCGTCAAACAATGCTATCAATTTCTAAGCAGATTTAATTGAATTGATTTTACAGGCTTAAGTCCTTTTGACTCATAAGCCGTGAATTTGAGGCATAAGATTGAGAATGTCAATGCCAAGATTTGGCTTATTTCTATAACACATCGTGGAAAAAAGAAGGGAGCGAAGGAGTGTGAGAAAGAAGGAAGTAGTCACTCCTGTCCGCATTCGCCAAGTGCCACTTTAAATTTTGTTTGTTTGTAGGATTTAGTCTTAGAACCTGAAGAACTCGGCTTCCTTATCAAAAAAATGTGCCAAATTCATGACAGAACAGCCTCCTAGCTCAAACAAAAAATCGCACTTGTGGAAGAGTGTCCTCAAAAAATGGAAAAGTGCAGGGAAAAAACGTTTCCCACGAAATTTACTATTTTCCAATGTAGAATAAGAACATTCAATAAAAAGAAAGTATAGGTTTCTATTTCAAAAAACTTGCCCCACATCATTAAATGAGCCCCTCCATATGAAGAATATTTTAAATAAATCATTATTTTATATCCACGCTATCTTAAGATAAATGGGACACAGTGTATATAAATTAATTAAATGACATTCAAATACTTATAAGATTACGAAACTTTGCGACTATCAGTTTCGTAATCTTCTACACCCCTATTCGCCTCGCTTATGCAGGTGCAGTTAAACCCCAATAAATCATCTTCTGCAACTGATATCTTTTCCTAGGCAAAAATGCTTGCTTCAAAAGTATCGTATATTCCGAAATTTACCCTTTATTAAAATAATAAGTCTCATTAGTTAACGATAATGGATAATTTTTTAAAATACGTTCTCTCGTAAATACCTGGGTCCGGGCGCCACGGTGTTGCGACTTCACGTGCTTTTTTCTAACTTTTGTTTGTTTATTACCAATAATTCATTGATTGTCTACACTCGAGCGACGACGTTACTCCCGGGTAATACCGCTATTTGAATGGGTTAATAAAAATGTGGGTTGCTATTTAAAAAAAAAAACCTGTTGTGTGACGTCACGGCACTAAAAACTCATATTAAAAAAAATTGTTTGGCAGTTTTACATCACCTATGCCTAACGTACGAAATCAAAATAAGCGTTTTGGCGGAAACAATATTTTTGTTTTTTAACTATGACATTTTTTTTTCGTTTTAGGTAGATTCTATCTACCTATTGTAATGGTACCAGTATATTAATTTGTAGGTTTATCGGTTTATATATATCACTTCCAAGAAACACTTTAACTTTCATAATTATGTACCGATTTCTAGCAAACTTTAACTCATAAATATCTTGGTCAAGTTCGTGAATCAGGCAATTCCGCCATTTTGTTCCAATGGCTTCTTCTACCTTCGCCTGATAGGTCGAGCCGAAAGGGATTTTTGTGATTGTAATAGAATAATTTTTGTATATTGTACACAGAAAAATAAGGTCCGATAGGGTCTTTCAAATATAACTTAATAAAAATTTAGGTTGCTGTTTGAAAAAGAAAGTTCGATGCCGTTGTGGCCGGCGCTCTAAAATTTATTTTGAAAAACCGGCCGTTATTTTTCGTTTCCGGATGCCTAATATACATATCCAAAATTTGAACAAAATTCGTCGAGCCGTTATCTCGGAAAATTTCTTACGTGCATACATACAGTCAGAAAAAAATTTGCTCAAAATCGAGCTTAAAATGATCTAAAACCTCGACATTTGATGACATTCCCAGAAAACGGTGATGGCAGTAGCCACCCATCAGCTTGAGCTAGGAAGCTAAAAGTAAGACTTCATGTTGGCACTCCGGGTCATTAAAATGGAACTTTAATTATGATTAACAGGGGTTGATAATGTAAATAGCTATCTCTTTTCGTGTCAGTTTTAAAATGTGCAACCCGATTTACGAAAAAAGTTGGATAACTTGTTGAAAAATAATTAACACCTTCTGTTGGCATTCCGCTTCATTAAAATGGAATTTTTCGTACAAGTAGCAGGGGTTGATTATGTGTTACTATATCTCTGTTATAATGTACAATTAAAATGTGCAACCTGTTTTACGAAAAAGGTTAGGTTCCTTGTCGAAAAATGAGACTTTGCCTTTGCACTCCACAGTCCGTTTCACTAAAATGGAATTGAAATTTTAATTAGCAGGGGTTGATTATGTTTGGTAATCGATATCGGCTTCCAAGTGTAGGTATAATTATAACTCTTTAGAAATGCTACCCAGCGGTACGTAATTATGGACTGTTACTACCGGTTACTATACCTACACATTTTATTAAGCCGGATCCAATGAACATTTACAGTAGTTATAACGGGTGGTTTAATGGTCATTTAAAAGAAATGGTGCAGCGGAAAATTTTTGAAGTTGCCTCAGAAGTGGCTTAGTAGGCTCTTTGTAAATTTTCTCGAATGTTCCTGTGACACTTCCACAGACTTGGTGTAATTTCAAACTTCAAAGTGTAAAAACTATCCAAATAAGACGGGCTTTCTGTGGAAATTCACTGAAGCCGATTGGAATTTATCGATTTTCATTGTTTGTCCCACAATTACCCATAATATTATTTTCGATAAAAATGTACTTCGATTTTACCCAATTTACATAATACACCCCCTATAATTGATTACATCGCGGCGCAAACACATCACACAAATAGGGTTAGATTACTTCAGTGATCGATGCTTGTTCGCTTGAAAACAAATTAATTTTTTTACGATAAGTACCTACCTACGGAAAACATACGTGGGTACACTTTTTATTTTTACATAAAACATCGACATTGAAATGCCATTAAAATGAAAGTACTTATATTCTAATAATAATATACGGTTGTGTATAAAGCCGAGAAGCCGCGTGAGAAGGTTCCCTAAAATACCAGGTGCCAATTTAGATAGAAATCGCGATTATGCTTTAATTATGGATGGATTCGCCAATCATCAAATGGAAAATCGAAGCACTACGTCAGTGTAATGGCGGAAGCAGTTTGAAATGTATCACGTAGGTGGGATGAATCTACATCTTATTCATCGGCTGCGAATGACAGCCACGGATATATTAAGTTTATTTCCATACCCACTTTTGCGCAATTCCTTATTGATAACGCGTTTTTCACTTGAAGTCCCAATTCGAGTAACACAAACACAGGATGTTGTGCGAATTTGGAGGCGTGACGTATACGTATGAAACTAACTGGTAACGTAAGACGTCCATTTATGTATATTGACATAATTTTTCATACATTTATCATTAGAAAATTAACAGTAAAACCTCTTTAGAGAGATTAACTGGCGGTTCAAAAGTAGAACGTCCACTTTTTACCATTAACTAGAGCAGCGATTAATATTTCAAAATTAAATCAATTTGTGTTGGAAAATTTAGTCAAACTAACCTCAATTATTTAATTGTCAATTTTTCGCCTAAGCGTTTTCCATTAGAGCGAAAATTCACGTAAGTTACAAAATAAACGTGCGAGATAATTATGTAGATGTAGTAATTTACATTAAGTAATTAAATAAACATTAACTAAATTTGTATCCGTGTTAAGCAACCCATACCAAATGTGGCTCGAGTTAAAATACATTGTAATATTTAGATTCTGGAAACTAAATTAATATAAATACAGATAATGTTATCAAAAAATAAATTTTGAAAATTGCCTGTCTGTGTATCGTTATGTCAAAATAAATATTGTTTTAATTATATACGTTCAGTTTATTTACTGTGCACGCTAGGCTCCACTAATTTATTACACCATTTTATAAATAACTATTTGCGTAGTATGTATATGCAATTGTTGATTTGCGCTAATGAACTATTTTTTAACTTCAAATAATGGTGATTTACGACATGCTACTTGTTAATTTTCTGAATGTTTTTGTTGTAATGGCTGTGTACACGAGAGCGAGGGTCAAACTAAATTTGTTGCTAATGAGGTTATTTCACAGTGTATGAATAACACAAATTATGTACAGTTAGTGTAATCAGTATGAGAGACAATTTAACGAAAATAACTTTAAAATCAAATAATGTGATGATGGGTATGCGAATTAATCGTGCACGTTGGTATGAGCTTTGATTAGTTAGGTTAGGGTTATAAATGAAAGTAGGAGCTTTGAGCTTTAGGCGTTCAATTTATTTTGAGACGGTCTTGGCGAAGACTTCCCAGGATACGTGCGGAGGAGTACATTTCTATTTTCATATGTTTTGATATATTCATTACTTATACGTATTCTTGGGACGAACAATGAATGACCAAGAAAATTATTGTAGATGCGTATTATGCTATTGTGACGGGTAGGTAATTACGATTGCCCCAACTAACGACAGTTGAGTTATCTAATTCGCATTATCCCTATTTTCGTCATTACAGCTTTATTAATTTTAATACTTATACAATTATTTTTCCCTGCAGAATTATTAATCGGCTTTAAGGTGGAGATTATGGCTAATGGCACTTAAATGGAAAGTTATTTCATTTATCAGGAGATAAGTACGTGACCTACAATTTCGTGTAATTGAGCAGACAAAAGAGTAAGTGATTGAGATAATAAAAAGAAAAATCAAATTAGTCTAGGTTTTCCAACACAACCGTTCGCCGAATCATCCCCAAACAACTGTCGGTATTTCAGCGCAGCGTTGCGTCGGGTCGCGCGTCGGGTGGAATGTATTCGATCATTGTTGGAACCCTATGGAGAAATCCTTGTGGATAATGCAATTTTGAACAAATCTACACCCCCATATATTCCAGATATGGCCCCAAGTACCTGTTTGGCAAATTGAAAAAGGGCCGCATCAGACACCATTTCCGTGACGCATAAAAGGTGAACATTTGGGCACATTTTAAGGACAAACCAAAAGAATATTTTTAGGAGTATTTATCCACCGTTATTTGAAACTATGTAATTACTGTTGGGGGACAAATAAAATTTAATTGTTGTTTATTTGGCGCTGCTCTCCGATTGTAAGTTTTGGAAAGCATAAGTTGTTTACTATAGTGGAGTGAAGATTGATTATTATTAAAATTGTCCGCCATCATAATTATTTCTGTGTGCAAGACGTCAAATATCTTTCAACGCCAAAAATTTCGAATGCATGCTAAGCACCTCTTGCTTTCATTAAAATCGGCTAATGGGAATGCTTCATTATATTGGTAAGATGCTTTACCGCGGTCGGTGTTTCCTACATGTATAAGAGCCCAGGAAGAAACACATTAATGCTTGGAACTTGGAAATGTTTGTGTACACATATGGTCACTTGACGAGTGTGTTGCAATTGTTACGATTTCAGTATTTTTTGCCATTTGTTTAGAAATTCTGGTAATGTTAGGTACAGAAATTATGACGGAAGGAATTGCTAACCAATTGTGTCAATTATAGATTATAGAGTGATAGTTTAATAACAGAAACGCCCGCATAAGTTAGCAATAGACTCCAGATTTCAGTCAAACGTTAGACCAGAAGAACCGTTTTATCATCTACTCATCTGTGGTATTGCGTACTATGTGGCTAAAGCTCATTTTGAATTTCATGCAATTCGATTCATAATTAACAGAGATGTCAAAGGGTCTTCCTTATTTTGTGGCCTAAATTGCCAATTCACGAACTCCGATCTACAAATTTGATAAAGAATCCACCTGCATACTGTCATCAGTCCATTCGTTTTCGAGATATCATGCAAACGGATAGACACCGCAAAATTATGAACTCCCTATGACACTAACACTTTTTTTTTTACATTTCCCCAGTAAATTAAGGTCTAACAATGGGCCGTCGAGTAAATGAGCGGGTCACTATAATCCTGGGGCCAGTGCAGTGGTGCTCATAATATAACCATCTCAATTCCAGTGAGAGCAGGGGTGGGTAGGTTTGTATTTTTAGAGTCGACCAACCACAATTGACAAAAGAAGATTTAGAGTCCGTAAGAAATTGTAGGATATTTGATTCAAAGAACTTTCAAAAAGCGAGAAACATTGAAAGGCTCAATAGATTACAATTTTGAAGCTAATGACGACTGAATTTGAGAATAAGTTAAAAACAAACTCTAATTCTTGGAAAAATTCCGTTGTTTATGTGTACAATTTACCTATTCAAGTATAATTTATACTGCAGTGACAGGTATGTCACAGAAAGAAACTTTTTTCTCACCAAACACCGCAGATAAAAGGCTTATCTCGATTTTTGGTCTTGCAGAAATGTACACGAACATTCCTACTTCGAGATAACGTATCCTTTAAGAGGAATGCCAAAAATTTGATACATGGGCATTGTTGAACATAACCAAACCGAATTCAGATTTCTGAAATTTGGAAACCTCGTTTAGGGATACGTAATATAAAAGCAGGAATTTTGGGAATTTATAAAAACTAAAAGTTACAAAATTCGAACGTAGAATATTGTTGAGGAAATACGTACTTACTTTGCAAGAGTAGGTTCTGATCCATGAAAATTGTCTACTTTTACGTATCAATATGCGTCTATACTTTAGTAGGCATTCTGAATGAATCGGAAACAAAATGTTACGATTTTTATTCCTTGTTTTATTAATATGAAGAATCTTATGGATTTAAAGAAATTACAGAATCTAAAGGGTACAACCCACTTCAGTGGTTCGCACGCAATCAGTGAGGTTCCGAAACTATATAGTATAATTAGTACAGTAATTGCTAATATATTAGTCAATGGTACAATAAAAAAATATAAAATCTAATTAAAAGGAAAAATAACAACATATTTTACAGCTGTATCCACTTACATAATATCAGACGGAAACGGCGGTGATATACGGCAGAAACGACGGTGGTCGTCGAGACGTTACGGACACTCGGGCATCACCAGACGTCTCAAAAACCATGTTTCTGCCCAAGATCTTGCAGCGAGTGCCCAGTGGCCTCGCTTTAAAGAAAATAAAAAAAAGGGGTCGGCCAAATGCCGTGGATCAACGACGAGCAATGTTACTCACTGGCCATAACATGTAGTTAAATTTAATAATATTTAATTATAAGATTAACAATAATAAACAACTAAGGCGTACAAGTGAGCTACTTTTTGTTAACTATGATTCTAGGTGTCTATATAATTACGTAATCCGGCCAATACGACTGTATGATGTTAAGCTGGGTGTCGTGATGTCTTTGGCGTGCTTTATTAGAACTTAGAAGGTGACCATCATGCGCGACGACGGTGGTCACTAAGGGGTGGCCGCTCTTCCTCGCGTGGCCATCGCGGGAACGGGGTGTTATTGTGTCCACCACTGGTTACTACCCTTGGCGTCGAAGATTATTGGCCTCGGAGACGTAATTGGAATTCCAAATGCAGCAATAACACAAAAGGAAAAACCTTGTGAAGGCTCACCTAGGGATACGCCTAATATTAGTATTAAACAAGACTTCATGCATATAACGCTCCCTGGTCAAGATAAAGGGAAAATGATAGATCTGTAGATACGCTACAGATCTTTTGTTATCGCAGACCATGGAAAGCGTGTTATGATTTCACCATATAAGCAACAGTTAAAATTAAATAGCGATTACCCTTATGGCGCTTACAGAATAGTCAGACTAACAATTCACAAGTAGCATACAGTAAATAATACAGAACAAAATCACAAATATAATGACAAGTACACTTACGTCTTTATAGATTGAAAAATGTATGATCGAGCGAGCAATAGCACTCGTGCCGCTGGTTGACAACGAAAGAGGAAAAGCCCAATTTTGGTGCGGTGTATGTGAGCGCCGAAAATTTGTAAGTGGGAACGGAGAGATAACTTACGGAAAACCCGATCTATACATAATATACAGCGTGTACCGTAACACTCCCCCTTGCCGACAAAAGCGAAGCGTCGGTAGAAGGAAAAAAAAAAAACAAACCCGGTAACCAATAACAATAAATTATACAATATACAAATATAATAAGGCATTTAAGAGTTTCTTTCTTTATACGGACGTAAAAATTGAATGTGCGACCTAGTAATTTCGTTCGTTTCGATATCTTCCAATACCACTGACACTGGGGAGGTAAATCCTCTAATAATTTTAGGACCTGACCATATAGCAGTGAATTTTTGATCCGAAACCCTTGGCACAGAGGTAGGAAAATGTTTTACAAGGACCTTTTGATTGATTTTAAACTTGGTAACAGGTAATTTGCCTCGATTATAATATTTCTTCGCCTTCTCGTGGGCTACCTTAAGATGATTGTGGATTTCTTGGAGATTAGGAGGATCGGCGCGGGCTAGAAAGGATTCGAGGTTCCAGATGTTATCCAGAGGGGTTGCTATATCCCTATTTAGAAAAATGTTCGCAGGGGAGGTACCTATTGCCTCGTGGTGGGTACTATTATAGTTTAAGATAAAAAATGGTAATACCTGATCCCATGATTTGTGCTCCAAGGCATATTGCTTAATTAAGAGGGTTAAATTGTATTTTAAATTCCTATTGCAACGCTCACTCATATTTGATGCTGGATGATAAGGTGACGAGAAAGCTTGACGTACGCCCCATTGCATGCAAAACTGAAATAGTAAGTTACTGGTGAAACATTTTGCATTATCGGAAACAAGGGTTTTAGGGGGGCCGTAAGTTGAAAATAGTTCAGTCAAATATTTACACGTTACCTTTGCAGTAGCCTTACGAGTGGGGTATACCTTAAGCCATTTAGAAAAACTATCAACGCAAACGAGCATGAAACGATAACCCTGCTCAGAAGTTATTATGGGACCTACATAATCCACGTATATTTTGTCCCACGTAACAGTCGGCGAGGAACTGGCTAAATGAACATTGACCTGGGTATTAAGGGGCTTGCATGTCTGGCAAAGGTGACAACTCGAAACGTAATTCCTAATTTGTTTGTACATGGCGTTCCACCAAAACCTTTTAGCAATCGATCTGTAGGTTTTCGTAACTGAGTTATGATTACCAAATTTAGAATCATGAAAATAGTAAATAATTAAATTGTAGAGTTTTTCGGGAATGACTACCCTTTTAAGACGATTTCTTCCCACGTAACGTATTAACAGGCCGTTTTCAATTGCGAAGTTATTAACATCTTGCCCGCTCTGGAGGCGGTTGCGGATGAGTTCGCAAAATTCATCGGACTGCTGGTGTTTATTAATAGACACGAATGACTCGGGTAATTCAAGAATCGAATTCAAAAAAGTTATAGAGTGTTGGGTGTCTGCTGAAGGTGAGGGTTCCTGACAATCATCAAACAGTCGAGATAATCCGTCTGCCACATTATTTTGTGAGCCTGGAATATGTTCAATAGTGAAATTGAATTTGGAAAGTTTTAGGATCCAACGACCAAATTTGGAAAGCTGTGAAGGGTGGTTCACGAGCCAACGTATAGCGTCGCAATCAACCTGTAATGTAAAGAGTGAGTCGGTAACGTAATCCTTAAATTTATCAAGCGCGAACATAACAGCCAAAGATTCCTTTTCATACGTCGAGTATTTTTTCTCTGTATCGGATAACTTTTTGGACACAAAGGCTATAGGATGAATTCCGTCTTCTTGTTTTTGTAATAACACACCCGATATGCCTATGTTACTTGCGTCCGTTCGGACTATAAAGGGGATGGAAAAATCCGGCAGTCGTAATACTGGGGCTTCGCAAATTGCTTTCTTAAGATTATCAATGGCTAAAATGTGTTTATCCGTTATTTTGAATTTACTATCCTTTCTTTTTAATTCATTTAATGGCGCGAGTATCTCAGAAAATTTATCAATAAATTTAGAGCAAAATGACACTATGCCAATAAATTGTTGAACTTGCTTAACACTTTTTGGAATTGGAAGATTTTGGACAGCTTCGATACGTTGAGGATCCAGCTGTACACAACCTGATGAGACTACGTGACCTAAAATTCGCAACTTTGACATGGCGAAACGAGCCTTTTCAGGATTTAATGTTATACCGCACATGCGAAAACGTTCTAAAACTATTTGTAAATGTGTGATATGCTCGGAAGGGCTTTTCGAAAACACTATGAAATCGTCAAAATAATTTATAAGAAATTTAAAACGTATATCGGCAAATTCCCTAGCGATTAGACGGTTTAGGCCCGTAGGACTAATTTTGAGGCCGAAAGGTAAATAATTATACTCGTAGTGCGAGGTAGGAGTGACAAAGGCGGTGTATTTTTTCGAGTCTTCCGCTAGTTGTATTTGGTGAAATGCGGCGTTCATATCAAATAGGGTGAAAATTTTTGCACCTTGAAGATACGCAAAAATTGCTTGCTGATTGGCGGGGGGAAATGGGTCGTACTCGATAATTTTGTTAATAGCTCTATAGTCAACTACAAGCCGTTTCCCTGAATCCTTTTTTGGTACGAAAAAAACTGGACTGGCGTACGGGGATGTACTTCGGCGAATAATTCCCTTTTCCAAAAGATGCTGAAGGTGATCGTCCAATTCTTTCTGTTTGACCGGATTTAAGTAAAAGGGAGTTTTATAAATTGGTTTACTTGAGGAAACTTTAATTTCGTATTCGAAATTTCTAACGATACCCACTTCCTTTGTTAAAACGTCGGAATATTGGGTTATCAGGGAGGCGATCTGCTGATTTTGTACTTGATTAAGGTTATATTTGACTTCGCAAATGGAAGATAAAATTCCTTTTCGCAAATTGGGTGAGGAACTAAATGGAATTTTGATATCACGATTGAATTCAAAAGAAATGTTTTTACTTTCAAAATTAAGAATAACTTTCATTTTATTTAATGATGGGATCCCCAATATCACATCAAAATTTAAACTCGAAAATTCATAAAAAGATATAGGCCATGAAAGGCTTGCTATTCTCACAAACACTTTAACCTGTTTGCGGACCCTAACCATTGAGGAATCGGGCAACATGACTACTGATGAACACGGAGTGTACTTTACTGTACCGATCTTATTTAATTTAGAAACAAATTTAGCTGAAATAAAATTATAACTGGCTCCTGTATCGAGCAATGCTAACACCCTAATATTATTTATTTCTACCAAAACTAAAGGCATACAATTAGGTAAAATATTACCATGTCTGAGGCTAAAAAGGCAAACTAGTTTTTTGGATAGCTATCATTTTTATTACTGAGTTTGCGACATTCATTTAATAAATGACCGTAATTCCGACAGTATCTACAAAATTGTGCACGCTTTTGCTCCGGCGGCGGTGGTCGAGATTGAAAGTTTACAGGAGGACTAATGGTGGGTACGATATCAAAAGAATTAGGGTGCTTAAAATTTTCCTCTCTCCTGGCGATTGATTCAATTTTGTAAATTATTGTATCCAATTCACTAAACGTGGAAGGTTCGTAAAAATGTTTGATTACATCAAAGGTTTTTTTGCTACAATGTGCCCAAATTATTGAAATTAGGTGCGATTCGGGATACGTAAGGTTTAATGCACAAAATTTTGACTTAATATCCAAAACGAAGGATTCAAATGACTCGTCCTCCCTTTGCAAACGGTTAATAAATTTATCGCACATTAGGATTATATCTGAATTATTTATGTATTTAGAGAAAAGAGCTCCCCTCACCTCAGTCCACGGTTTACTCATCATAGTAGACCACCATTCTGTAATGTGATCGTCCACTTTAATCGATAACGCGATCAGAAGACTTAAACTATCGACGTTTGGGAGCTTGAAAATCTTGTCTACTGCCTCGATAAAAAGCACAATAGCCTGGGGATTGTTATGGCTACATGTAGGAACATTCGATATTAATTTATTCGAGTCAACTTTGAACTTAATCTTATGGTACGAGGTGATATTGTCTGCTGCCTCAATTGCGACTTTCAAAATTTCGGAGCAGTTTTGATTGGTAGTTTGAATATCTTGTGCAAGTGAATTTACAATTAATGATGAATTAGGCAAAGTTGGTTTAGGTTTAGGAGATAGTAATTTCTTAGATTTCGTTTTCAAAGTAGGGGCGGTGAGTACACGTTGCGAATGTACCGAAGAATTGACAGTACTGGCAGTACTTGCCTGCGGAGACTCATCTGGAACCTCTTTAAGGCGTTGAAAGGCAGTTAGGAGTTCCTGCTCAGTCATGCTAGCAACCCGACTACCTTTTGGGAATTGTAACAGTTGTTTAGGGTTGGCTACCGCAGGTGTGGAAAATTTCGAAACTGAGGTGACACCTTTTGCGGTGCTACGCGTAATAGGAGGTGGCATCAAAGAAGTTATGTAAAATAATAACTGTCAGTATGAAAGAAACCTTAAAACGCGGAAAATACCTATACGAGTAAAATATCTAATTGACTATCAACCGCACATGCTGCATAAATATGATCGATCGGTACAAGCGCGACAAATAAAATCGATAAATTATCACAAGGTTATTGCATAAACAACACATAAAAATAATCGTAGCTCACAATACACCAACAATTTTGATAAAGATTACAACAATAAAATTTACGTTACGCTCTGCTACCATTTGTAGCGAGTGCCCAGTGGCCTCGCTTTAAAGAAAATAAAAAAAAGGGGTCGGCCAAATGCCGTGGATCAACGACGAGCAATGTTACTCACTGGCCATAACATGTAGTTAAATTTAATAATATTTAATTATAAGATTAACAATAATAAACAACTAAGGCGTACAAGTGAGCTACTTTTTGTTAACTATGATTCTAGGTGTCTATATAATTACGTAATCCGGCCAATACGACTGTATGATGTTAAGCTGGGTGTCGTGATGTCTTTGGCGTGCTTTATTAGAACTTAGAAGGTGACCATCATGCGCGACGACGGTGGTCACTAAGGGGTGGCCGCTCTTCCTCGCGTGGCCATCGCGGGAACGGGGTGTTATTGTGTCCACCACTGGTTACTACCCTTGGCGTCGAAGATTATTGGCCTCGGAGACGTAATTGGAATTCCAAATGCAGCAATAACACAAAAGGAAAAACCTTGTGAAGGCTCACCTAGGGATACGCCTAATATTAGTATTAAACAAGACTTCATGCATATAACGCTCCCTGGTCAAGATAAAGGGAAAATGATAGATCTGTAGATACGCTACAGATCTTTTGTTATCGCAGACCATGGAAAGCGTGTTATGATTTCACCATATAAGCAACAGTTAAAATTAAATAGCGATTACCCTTATGGCGCTTACAGAATAGTCAGACTAACAATTCACAAGTAGCATACAGTAAATAATACAGAACAAAATCACAAATATAATGACAAGTACACTTACGTCTTTATAGATTGAAAAATGTATGATCGAGCGAGCAATAGCACTCGTGCCGCTGGTTGACAACGAAAGAGGAAAAGCCCAATTTTGGTGCGGTGTATGTGAGCGCCGAAAATTTGTAAGTGGGAACGGAGAGATAACTTACGGAAAACCCGATCTACATAATATACAGCGTGTACCGTAACAACAGGTGTGTTAAACACCTCACCAGCTATTACAGCAGCACAACTTGCAGAGGCAGAAAAGAAGGAGAAAGAAAGACGAAAGACCCTTAGAAAGAAACATGAAACCGTGAGGAGTTTATTTGATAATAGCGAAGATGAGGAAGAAGTTGAGATATTCGAAAGCGACCACGAATCTTATGCAGCCTGTCTCTACTGCAATGAACTGTTTTCAATATCCAAGAAGGGAGAGCACTGGATTCGTTGTCAAAAGTGTAACAGTTGGTGCCACACAGAATGTGCAGGAGTAGATAGAAAAATTAAAGTGTTTAAATGTGAATTATGCATATAAATGTTTTTTTTTTGTACTACTAGATATAGTTTTTGAGTTCCTTTGCATTTTTGTTTTCTTTATTATGAAATATTTAAAATAAACCATAAAAAAACAAAGTATGCCATCATACCCCGACTATTCGGTTATGATGGCATATTCGGGTTTTTTCCTAATTTATATGTCAAAGTTTTTGTTTTGCTTTTTCTATAACAACCATTCGTTATCTCAAAAGAGTACAGGGTTACTAATTTTTTCGTGCTAAAACGAGTCTTCTATCTAGTCTATTAATGATATTAGAGAC